TCTCAAAACACAACAAAAGAAATAAACAAAAACTCAGTCTTTCTTACAAGCCAATCTAAAGACTCTCCAACCGGCCACACCTGTGTGTGCTTGGTTCTAGGAGGAAGGTCATTCCTTCAGCCTGGCCTTCAGACAGGTACTCTAAGAGAAATCCACACAGAGTCAGAAATCCTAAATGTAAACAAACATGAAATAAAGAAGGCTCAAGTCTATAAAGACTTTCGCTGTTAGGAACATTGTAACTGTAAAGTAAATGGGTTTGAATGCGTGTCATGGCTTCATAGCTACCCACAAATATCCACGGCCATCGTTAGTTTTGCTCTTTGTTTTTGAGGGGTGGGTTAGATGTGAACTGAGACAGAGTTTCATGTACCTTAGGTTGGCTTTGAACTTTCTATGTAGTTGAGGCTGATTGAACCCTGTATTCTTCTGCCTCTGTCTCCCAAGTCCTGGCGTCCTAGGCGTGTGCTATCACACACAGTATGGTTGCTCAAGTTGTGTTCCTCAGTGTCCTTTGTGCCTTCGTGGAGCTGTGTGACAATGTTCGGCTGATGGCATTTAAACAAACCAGTAACGTTAGTCTCTCCTGAAGGAAAAAGGATACAGTAGAATTTAAGCCAGGGGGCTGCAGCTCTGTGGGGGTGTAGAGCTCTGCCTGACGTGCAGAAGGCTCGGGCCAAGCACCACACAGACACAAAAAGGCAACACAGATTGCTGGGTGTGGTGGTGCACACCTAACACAGGAAGGACAGGGCGGGGCTGGGGGGCCTGGAGTTTGAGGCCATCCTAGGCTACATAGCAAACCCCTGTCTCAGGAAGCAAACAGACTCACGGCATTCGGGTGTGACCCTGGAGATGAGTCATGAGAGTTATTGGGGTGTTCCAAGCTCCCTGTTTTGAGTGGAGAGATTAGTTACTTTTAGATTCTGATCAGTACACCCAGCACAACTTTTGGAAAGCTGCTAAATCACAGACTGAATTTGCAGCTAAGATCCTTCCCTCCGGCTAAGTCTGGATTGGGCTGGCAAGATCTTTCTTGGAGAGCCGGCAGTTTTTCAGCTGTAGAGTTGCTGGGCACCTAAAACCTCACTTGTCACTGCAGGCTCTTGCTTTAGTCACAGGAATGGCTACAGGGGAGACCCGCTTCTGAGCCTTTCCCAACGCCACATCCCTCGCTCTCTCAGACCCTTTCATTCCAAACTGCGTCCCAGTTAACCGCCAGCTTCCTCACGACAGGTCTTAGTCGTGAAGAACGTCTGCTCGCCTGCACACAGACTACCAGAAACGTTTCCTCCTGCGTGAAGCTTCTCCTGTTGCAGAGGAGGGTGAGGGGCAGGACGGAGTGACAGACCAGCGCCCCTCCCCCCCGGACTTCCGAAACCCTCTGCTCGTTTGGATCCGTGTGGTCACAGTTTAGTTGACCGTGTGCGGCAACATCCAAGTGTCCAGACCAAACTCAACACTCCCAGAAGACCCAGACTGTCTAAGCCCACTTCCGTTAGACTCAGTCTTCCCAGGCAGGGCCTGCCTGCGCCTCACCCAGGTGTATACTCCTGAGAGGCGCCTTGTTCGGAAAGATGAAATGGCATGTTGGAAGGAGGGGCACATCCATGGTTGAGAGTCAAGCGGTGGGACCTAGCAAGAGGTGACTGGGATTTTGAGAGGGGTCACCGTTTGTCTCATGATGAGGGGGAGTGTTTTCTTGCTCTGGAGAGAGCAGGGTGTTGTCAGAGAACCTATGATATTCCTAAAAATCCTTTCTTCATGTCTCACCATGTGATCTGTTCCGTTCACACGTGTTCTGCCATGACCTGATTCACCGTCAACCATCATGTTAAAAAGAAGAGCCGTCACTACAGGCAAGCAGATTGGGGCTGCCTAATCCTGGATTTTGAGTCTCTTAAACTATGAGCTAAATCAACTTTAAAAAAAAATAAAGTATTTTAAAAAAAATACTTCGGGCATTACCCTGATTAACTATAATTGTGAACTTAACACAACCTACCATCATCTGAGAGGAGCTGTCTGGATGGAGAAATTGTTCTTCTAATACATTAAGTCTGTAGGAAACCATTGATTATTAATTGATAGAAGAGGGTCCAGCCCACTGAGGGCAGCACCATCCCTAGACAGGTGGAAGAGGGTCCAGCCCACTGAGGGCAGCACCATCCCTAGGCAGGTGGAAGAGGGTCCAGCCCATGAGGGCAGCACCATCCCTAGGCAGGTGGTCTTTCACTGTGTAAAATAGCTAGCTGATCATGGGGCCAGCAAGGGAGCCAGGGAGCAGGGCACAGAAGCAGCCTTTCTCCATGGTTTCAGCTCTCCGCTTCTCTTTGAGCCCCTTCTCCGACTTTCTTCAGTGGTGGACCATGACCTGGAAGTGCAAGTCAAATAAATACATCTTTTCCTCCCCAAGCTGCGTTTGGTCAGAGTGTACAAAACAGCAACAGAGATCAAATAGGACAGACACTTTGTTATAACAAGGAACCCAAAGAAGGCTTTGCTAACGATGGCTCTCTCTTCCTCTATTGATTCAACGCAAGTTGATGGGTGTCTGCCACTCACTGCAACCCAGGAGCCCAGATGCCTACCGATTGCTGCTCCCTTCGGAGCCTCACGTTTTCATTTGCTTGGGTGACATAGGGCCCTGCCCTTCAGTTGGGTCTTTGGGGCTTCTTCTCTGCTGAAGTCAAACCACAGAATTTCTTGACCAGGAAACAAAATCTTGAGCTAGAACAGGTTTCTGAACCCATCCTTGCCTCAGGGGTGGGTCCCTTCTCACTGGCAATTTTGATCTCCTTTCCTTTTTCTCTTCCTGTTTCAACCCAGCCCTGTGTGACTGGGTCATTTTTTGTGCCGTCCCCTTGAACCTTAGGCCGCTGCCTTCCCAGGCTCAGGACTGTTTCCTTACGTGCTCAGCATAGGCAGCCTGTCAGGGTAAGTGCCCAACCGCTCCCTGACCCACAGGAATCTATAAAGGTCTCAATGATCAGAACGAGGAGACAGCTTGGAGCTCAGGAAGCCTAACAGCTCAGGCATCCAGCCACCCCCTCCCCAGGAAGCCCTTAGAGGAACAGGACTCCTGGGAGCTCATCTTCATCTCTTCTTTCTCAAGTACTCTCTAGAACTTGGCCACATTTGGGATCCAGGTATCTTCGCTGGCCAGACACAAGGAGGCAGATGGTAACACGGAGGGAGAGCCATTTCTGGTGCTGGCTGCTTTTGCAGCTCCTGCTTTTGGGAGATGGTGGTGAGTGATTTTATCTAAACGTGGATGATCCGGGAGCAGCTGAGGAGATGGGAGAGGTTGTAGCAAGCCCCGGGCTCCCCAGAGTCCAGGAGGAGCCAGCAGCTGACACTATGGGCTCTGGTCTCACATTGCTACAAGCTGTCATGGCTTCACTAGCATGCTGTGGAGGACTGGCTTCCCTGTGCCTCAGTTTACACAGCTGTGAAAGGGTGACACCTATGTGGTATGGGTCAGGTGTTGAGTAAGAAGAGTTCGCTGAGTTTGCTGGGGTTTTTTAAGAGAGATTTATTTATTATTTATTTAATTTGCACTGGTGTTTTTGCCTGTATGTATTCTGTGTGAGGGTGTCAGATCCCCTGGAACTGGAGTTACAGACAGTCATGAGCTGTGTCATGCGGATGCTGGGAACTGAACCTGGATTCTCTAGAAGAGCAGTCTGTGACCTTAAGCACTGAGCAATCTCTTCAGCCCTGAGTTGATTGTTTTTTAATATCAATTTTTCATATTGTAGACAATTTATTTTATTTTTATCATTCAAAACATTCCCAGTCAAATCCACCATTTTCACATGTCATGTCTACTTGGGTCATCCTTGGCTTCCCTGCCAGAGCTGGGGGAACCATAGTCTGAAATTGTGACTAAGTCCTTCCGCCCGTGAGGCTGCTTTGTTGGATTTTGTAACAGCAACAGAATCTGTTATATTTACACTGAGGCTCAAATACAGGGCTTTGCCCACACTTGGCAAACACCACTAAAGTGCAGCCTTTGTAACTCCTTTATGATATTTTTATGGGGCTGGAGAGATGGTTCAGTAGTTTGGAGCACTGACTGCTCTCCCACAGGACCCAGGTTCCACTCCCAGAATGCACAACAACCTTCTGTAATTCCAGTTTAGGGGGATCTAACACACTCTTCTGCCCTCTACAGGCAGCAGGCAAACATCAATATTTCCAATCTCATCGTGAGATAATTGATAATAATGGTGTCCACAGAGCAGGTCATGAGCACTGAATAAAGTCACCCATGCAGTGAATTTGACAAAGCAGGAAGCAGATAGCAAATATGTTCAACATGCACGGTTATCTTTCATAGTGATATTCAGAAAAAAATTTTCTCTTATACCATAGTAAATACCAATACTACTTCCACAACAATCTTGACCTCTGCATCAACACCAAAGACCACAGAGCCGAGGAGATCCACTGAGTCTCAAAACACCCCAACCACAGCTGAAACCAGCACAACCATCAGCTCTACACCCACCTCAACAGCTAGGACCAGCAAAGCCATCAACTCTACACCCACCCAAAACATAGAAGAGACCTACACAACCATCAACTCTACACCCACCTCAACAACAGCTGGGACGAGCACAACAATCACCACTACATCCAGCCCAACCACAGCTGAGACCAGTACAACCATCCACTCTACACCCACCTCAATGACAGCTGGAACCAGCACAGCGCCTGGCTTTACAACAACTACAACAACAGATGGCACCAGCACAATCATCAAATCTACACCCACCCCAACCACAGATGGGACCAGCACAACCATCAACTCTACACCCAGCCCAAACACAGCTGGGACTAGTACAACCATCAACTCTACAACCAGGCCAACCACAGATGGAACCAGTACAACCATCAAATCTACACCCAGCCTAACCACAGCTGAGACCAGCACAACCATCTACTCTATACCCACCTCAAGGACAGCTGGGGCCAGCACAGTGCCTGGCTCTACAATGACCCCAACCACAGATGAGACCAGTACAACCATCAACTCTACACCCACCTCAACGACAGCTGGGACCAGCACAACCACCAACTCTACACCCACTTCAACGACAGCTGGGACCAGCTCAGTGCCTGGCTCTACAATGACCCCAACCAGAGATGAGAACAGTACAACCATCAACCCTACACCCACCACAGCGACAGCTGGGACCAGCACAACCATCAACTCTATACCTATCCCAAACAAAGATGGGACCAGTACAACCATCAACCCTACACCCACCTCAACGACAGCTGGTACCAGCACAACCACCAACTCTACACCCAGCCCAACCACAGCTAGGACCAGCAAAACCATCAACTATACACCCACCTCAATGACAGCTGGCACCAGCACAACCATCAACTCTACACCCACCCCAACCACAGATGGGACCAGTACAACCATCAACTCTACACCCACCTCAATGAAAGATGAGACCAGCACAACATTCAACTCTACACCCACCTCAACGACAGCTGGAACCAGAACAACCATCAACTCTACACCCACCTCAACCACAGATGGGACCAGCACAACCACCAACTCTACACCCAGCCCAACCACAGCTGGGACCAGCACAACCAATAATTCTACACCCACCTCAACGACAGCTGGAACCAGCACAGCGCCTAGCTCTACAACAACTCCAACAACAGATGGGTCCAACACAACCATCAACTCTACACCCACCTCAACGACCTCTGGGACCAGAACAACCATCAACTCTACACCGACCTTAACAACAGCTGAGACCAGCACAACTATCAATTCTACACACACCCCAACCACAGATGGAACCAGTACAACCATCAACTCTACACCCAGCCCAACCACAGTTGGGACCAGTACAACCATCCATTCTACACCCACCTCAACGACAGCTGGGACCAGCACAGTGCCTGGCTCTACAACGACCCCAACCACAGATGAGACCAGTACAACGATCAGCTCTATACATACCCCAACAACAGATGGGACCAGCACAACCATCAACTCTACACCCACCTCAACAACACCTGGGACCAGCACAACCATCAACTCTACACCCACCTCAACAACAGCTGGGACCATCACAACCATCAACTCTACACCTACCCAAAACATAGAAGAGACCTACACAACCATCAACTCTACACCCACCTCAACAATAGCTGGGACGAGCACAACAATCACCACTGCACCCAGCCCAACCTCAGCTGGGACCAGTACAACCATCCACTCTACACCCACCTCAATGACAGCTGGAACCAGCACAGCGCCTGGCTTTACAACAACTACAACAACAGATGGCACCAGCACAATCATCAAATCTACACCCACCTCAACGACAGCTGGGACCAGAACAACCATCAACTCTACACCCACCCCAACCACAGATGGGACCAGCACAACCACCAACTCTACACCCACCGCAACCACAGATGGGACCAGTACAACCATCAACTCTACACCCACCTCAACGACAGCTGGGACCAGCACAACCATCAACTCTACACCCACCTCAATGAAAGATGGGACCGGTACAACCATCAACTCTACACCCACCACAACCACAGATGGAACCACTACAACCATCAACTCTATACCCCCCTCAACGACAGCTGGGACCAGTACAAACATCAACTTTACACCCACCTCAACGACAGCTGGGACCAGCTCAGTGCCTGGCTCTACAATGACCCCAACCAGAGATGAGACCAGTACAACCATCAACCCTACACCCACCACAGTGACAGCTGGGACCAGCACAACCATCAACTCTATACCTATCCCAAACAAAGATGGGACCAGTACAACCATCAACTCTACACCCACCTCAACCGCAGATGGGACCAGTACAACCATCAACTCTACACCCACCTCAACGACAGCTGGTACCAGCACAACCACCAACTCTACATCCAGCCCAACCACAGCTGGGACCAGCAAAACCATCAACTCTACACACACCTCAATGACAGCTGGCACCAGCACAACCATCAACTCTACACCCAGCCCAACCATAGCTGGGACCAGCACAACCAATAATTCTACACCCACCTCAACGACAGCTGGAACCAGCACAGCGCCTAGCTCTACAACAACTCCAACAACAGATGGGACTAGCACAACCATCAACTCTACACCCACCTCAACAACCTCTGGGACCAGCACAATCATCAACTCTATACCCACCCCAACCACAGCTGTGACTAGTACAACCATCAACTCTACACCCAGCCCTTCCACAGCTGGGACCAGCACAACCATCAACTCTACACCCACCACAACCACAGATGTAACCAGTACAACCATCAACTCTACACCCACCTCAACAACAGCTGAAACAAGTACAACCATCAACTCTACACCCACCCTAACCACAGCTGGGACTAGCACAACCATCAACTCTACACCCAGCCCTTCCACAGCTGGGACCAGCATAACCATCAACTCTACACCCACATCAACAACACCTGGGACCAGCACAACCATCAACTCTACACCCACCTCAACAACAGCTGGGACCATCACAACCATCAACTCTACACCCACCCCAATGACAGCTGGGACCAGTACAACCATCAACTCTACACCCACCACAATGACAGCTGGGTCCAGCACAACCATCAACTCTACACTCACCCCAACCTCAGATGGGACCAGCACAACCATCAACTCTACACCCACCCCAAACACAGATGGGACCAGCACAACCATCAACTCTACACCCACCCCAAACACAGATGGGACCAGCACAACCATCAACTCTACACCCACCTCAACGACATCTGGGACCAGCACAGCACCTGGCTCTACAACCACCCCAACCACCGTTGAGACCAGTATAACAATCAACTCTACACCCACCCCAATGACAGCCGGGACCATTACAACCATCAACTCTACACCCACCTCAACAACAGCTGGAACCAGCACCGCGCCTGGCTCTACACCCACCTCAACCACAGATGGGGCCAGTACAAACATCAACTCTACACCCACCCCAACCACTGCTGAGACCAGTACCTCCTCCAGTTCTGGCTGGACAACCCTCCACAGCGGCTCTAGCCTGGCAGTTTCAACCTCCACCTCCAACCACACCACCACAGTTGTAACTCCAGTGAACGCGGCAAAGCCCAGTGGGTCCTTGGAGCCATGGGAAACCGTCCTCATCACCCTGGCTTCTGTTGTTGTGGCCACAGCACTTTTTGCTGGAGTCTTCCTTTTTGTGGTGAGTGCCTGATATGTAATAAGGTGCTTAGGGAAAGGAGCGGGTGGTGGGTCACAGAGGCCCCAAGTCAGAGGGAGATAGGGAAGAAGTATAGATCAGGAGTTACAAGTAGAAACAAGTTATAGTCAGAAGGATGTATTCACATCCCAAGGAAACCACGGAGTCTGAGCTACAGGTGTTAAGAGGAATGAGGGCCAGCTGGGGGTTTTAGGGGAGGAGATGGTTGTAACATAAGAAAGAGCTGTGGGGAGAGAGGAACGGTTACAGAGTCATCCATGGTACATGCCTGGGAGGGGGGACATGGTTCCTAAACTATAGACTCTTTTTGCAGAGGAGTCTCCTGTCTCTGAGAAATGCTGCTGACATAGCTGTCTACATCCCCCACAACTGCCACCCTGGTTCTGGAGAACCCCACATGCCTCCATGGAGCCCTACCTGGTCCTGGAGGAGACCAGTAACCTCCGGGGTCATGGAGATGAATGAGAGATAACAAGTACTGCCCACGAAGCCCAGGACTGCATCCTTCAGAGGAGATGGGGGCTGCTTCGTATTCCATACCCCCCCGGAGTCCCTTCCCAACTCTGTTTGGGTCCCTTGAGAAAGATGCATTCTTCCCTTTCCCGGTTTTTACCAGACACAAGAAGGAGGACCATACATTGGTCATTTCACAAAGAAATAAATACATCCAACGTGTCTGAGGAGAGAACCTGTGTGTATGGGTGGTGTCTTGAGCTCTGGAGGGAACTGTCCGGTTACATGAGAGAGCTTTCATGGTGGAATCTGTGCAGGCTTCACAATCTCCACAGAAAACTCCAGAGACCTCGCTTGAGATTCTTGTGTTCCCATTTTCTTAGTCTTCCTGCCCCAAGCAGGATCCATTATCCTGGTATTTTAGCTATTTTTCTATTGCTGTGATGAAACACCATGACCAAGGCAATGTATAGAGGAATGTGGAAACAGCCTTCATGTCTGGATGAGGAGAATCACGCTGGGGCTGGGAATAGGCTAAACTTAGAAACAAGGCAGACTTAGAGCCATGTTGAAAAGATGATAAGACAGTGAGAATCAGGAACTACGATATTTGCTAAGTAAGCAGTGTAAGCCACGCAAGGTCAATTTCAAAGCTGCTCTGGGTCCTTTACACCTACTGCTAAAATTCTTTTCCAGGGGGAAGACATGAACAATCTCCCCCCTTCTCCTAGAGTCCCTGTGGCAAACTGAGGCACAGTTCCACCAGAGTTTATTCAGTTTCCCTGGGGCGCATAGAGAAGAGGCTGTTTACAAGGCTGTGGGCGCTCACTTGTCCTTGGGCACAGCCAGCATGACTTCAGGGGTGGACGTGATTAGGGCAGCACAAGAATGAAGACAAGACAGATACACAGAGAAACGCGGTAGGCGGTGCTCTCTGATGAAGCTGCAGCACCCAGGAAGCTTGGCACATTTATAATATAGTGTTGAACTAGGGGGGTGGGTATTGCATACAGCTAAACAAGGAGGCTGGGTTTGGAGTGCACAGCTGAATCAGAGACCTGTTTAGCTAATCTTGGCAGGAACAGTCTTTGGGCTGTAAGCATCCAGAAGTGAAAGCGATGGACATTTTCTGGGAACGCTATCAAGACCCAAACCAGAGGAGGCGTTGTCGTTCCTCTGAACCAGCGGGGAAGGCTTTGCCATTTCCCCATGAGTCTGAGGTAATGGAGTCCTTGGCGCGACTGTCCACACCAACAACACACATCCACTCAGGGATCCGTCCAATCCCCACATAACCCACAGTAAGTGACACGTGGAGAGGCTTTGCCCAGCAGGGATCAAGGTTCCCCATAATTACATAGATAGAACCCCCCCACACACACACACTGTGTTCCCTGGCCTTTATATATTCTAGTTCCTCCTCAAGGTCACAGGCAATTTCATACAGAATTTCATACAACAGACAGCAAGGAGCTGTTGATACTCATGTGTGGGTCTTGTGTCTCTTCTTAACTCTCCATGAAAGGGGTGTAAGCAATCAAGAAGCCCAGATGGAATAAATCTTTTGCTCAGAGACACAGCTGAACTCGCCCGACAGCAGTCACTTGGCTCAAAGGAACACTCACAACGGACGTCTCTACTTTATCACGTGCTCCTCACACTGATAAAGTCATAGTTCCTAAATTCCTTGTGCTGTCAGGTCAGAGAAACCTGGGACAAGTCTCACCCCGAACCTCCGGCTCCTTCCAGCACTTCTCGCCCCGCCCACTACCCTGAGCCCCTCCCTCTCAGGGGCTGGACTTCCTTCCCTTCGCCCAGATTCTGGCCCCTCTATAACTTAGCCGTTTTGGACACACGGTCTCTTTGTCTCCTGGCTTGCTCCTGGCCTCTTGGTCTGCTTGCTCCCTTCTCTCTTCTCCTCTTCTCTCGCTCTCCAACCAACCCGCCCCCCGACCCCAGCTCATGGCCCGGTTCAGTCTGCACCCTTCCAGAAGCCTCTGGCTGGCTGTCCCTCGTATCTACCCTGAGTAACTTTCTCCCCAACCATACCTAGAAGCAGTCATGTCCTCATTTTTTTCATCCAAAATTGACCTCTCTCACTGAAAACAAGCATGGGCTCTAAGCCTGAAGCCTCTGCAAGTGTCTCCCTTTGCAGCCATTGGCTTTCCAAAGAGGCACACAGAAAGTGTCCTCAGAATGCCGGGCGGTGGTGGCATACACCTTTAATCCCAGCACTCGGGAGGCAGAGGCAGGTGGATCTCTGGGAGTTCGAGGCCAGCCTGGTCTACAAGAGCTAGTTCCAGGACAGGCTCCAAAGCTACAGAGAAACCCTGTCTCGAAAATCAAAAAAACAAAACAAACAAAAAACAGAAAGTGTCCTCAGACTTGACAACTTCCCTAGGTCAAACTGCTCCAGAGTCATTCACGGTGACCTGTTTCTTCTGATGACACTGTTTTCAAACTCACATGGCTGGGCCTCCTCAGCACTGGTGGTTTTATAGTCTAGATACATTCTAACCATGACCACCCCAGAATTTTTAATCCAGAACCCATCTATCCTATTGATGGAGTAGTGTGTCCATCAGTGGTCTGTCATTGTACCAAAGTATCTGTCAGTGGTCTGTCATTGTACCAAAGTATCTGTCAGTGGTCTGTCATTGTACCAAAGTATCTGTCGGTGGTCTGTCATTGTAACAAAGTGTCTGTCAGTGGTCTGTCCTTGTAACAAAGTGTCCCAGTGGTCTGTCCTTGTAACAAAAGGCTGAGATGAGCTACTTACCAAGAGAGCTTTATTTTGACCGCAGATTTTAGGGGTTTCAGCCCATGATCACCTAACCCTGTTGCTGTGGGTCTGTGGGTGGCAGAAGAGGAGAGAGGAGGGGGCCCCCATCTTCTTCAAGGTTCAGTCTCCAGTGGCTAGAAAACCTCCAAATAGGCCCCATCTCAAAGTTTCCACTCCCTCCCAATAGAGCCACACTGGTTTAGTTTTTGTTTGTTTGTTGGTCTTTGAGATAAGGTCTCACTGTGTGTCGCTCTGGCTGGCTTCCCACGCATGACAATTTTAAGGCCTCCTCAACCCGAGCCTGCTCTAAATCATTGGGTTTTAACTCAGGCATACACTCATAGTGACTCTTCAGAATACACCACCTTCTCCTCCAGGAGGCTCCTCCCTGCCCCTCCCTGTCCCTCCTCATTCCTACCAGCCTGAAGTAGCCACTATTTTAACTTAATCATCATTAGTTGACTTCTCCCTGAACTTGCCCTCTGCATAAATGAAGCCACGCAATAATAGCCACTGCTAGAAATCCTTTTGAAGGAGTGGAGTTGAAGCACCAGTACTTAGGAAATTTAGACGTGAATTCCCACCAGAAGGATGGTCCTCTCTGCCACCAATGAGGGTCCAAGTACTAAGCAATGACAGCAAACGGGAGTGTGTTTTCCCTGACACCTGTGACCCCGTGGCATGCACTGAAGCTCACCGCTTTGAGAAGCCTAAAATCAGTGTTCCTGGTGGTTAGAACCATAGTCAATGCTGAGAAATCATTATGAAAGACAGGCCCAGGGGAATGGGTGATTCTGAGCTTCCTCCCCACTCCTGGAAGAGGACAACAGCCTGCTTTATAGGACCCCAGAAGCTGGACTCAGTCAACACCCACCTTCTTCACCCTTAAGGAGTCCAGGGGCCACAGAACATGTCAGTCACACAGCGACTCCCTCCAAACCCCCACCTTCCCTCACATGGAAAAACTCAAGTTTTAAGATGTTTACAATGTAGTATGTTGCCTGCATGTGTATATGTGTACCCTGTATGTGTGTGGTGCCTGAAGAGGCCCAAAAATGGGTGTGGGATCCCCTGGAACTGGAGTTACAGGCAGTTAAGAGCTGCTTGTGGGTGCTGCAAACTGAACCTGGGTCCTCTGCAAGCAGGACACAGGCTTTTAGCCTTTCTAGGCCCCCAGGTGAGATTTTAGTGGCTGATTAGCATCTGATTCCCAGGTGCACTCTGATTAAGTCACTGTGGCCAAGGATCCCGAGTCCTGACCTGGCCATGCTGAGGCTTCCGTGGAGAAAGAGCCCAACCACAGGCCGTTGTCTCCTGGCAACCCTGCCATACCCCTGAGATCAACAAAGGAGTGATTCAGCCCATAACGTTTCTGCAGCGTTGGGGGCGGAATGTGAAGTTCTGTGCACGTTAGACGAGAACTCTACGCCTGAGCTACAGCCCCAAACCTCCCTGCTGCAATCAAGGCCAGGCGTCCCATCACCATACCTGACAAAGAGCTGCCCAGATCTTGTCACAGATGTGGGTTGGTCGGTCTGTGCCTCTCCCTTCTAAAGCCTAGATGAAGGAAGCTTCCATCAACCCTTCTGGGAGGACACACTGGAGTCAGTCACACAAGTAAATCAGCTCCAATATAACTAGTCATGTGAGCACACTTTTGATATCAGAAATTGAGAGGCAGAGGCAGGTAGATCTTTGTGAGTTCAAGGCCAGGCTGTCTACAGAGAGAGTTCCAGGATGATCAGAGCTACAAAGTGAG